TAGGGGAGAGGGACCCGTGTTCTCAGACAAGTAAAGGAGCCCCATCTTGATGCGGTTCCTAGGATACCTCCCTTTAGCCCAAGGAGGGTTCAAAACAACATCAATCAATGGCTCAGAGGCCGTGTACCCGAAGGGTCCCGAGAGTCTAGGGTTTTGGTATAGGATGCAGCTGACCTCAGTCATCCATCCTTCCATACGTCCATACGTCCGTCCGTCCGTCCGTCCGTCCGTCCATTCATCCATCCATCCATCCATCCATCCATCCATCCATCCATCCATCCGTCCTTTCATTGCCTCCCATCAGTTCGATTTAGGAGGCTGCTCAAAGCGGTTTTTCTCCCTCAGAATTGTAACATGCGGAGCAGCACGAATCTTGCTTCGTTCTCAATGATTTCGATTCGAGCTGCAACGCATGTAGCTGCTGCGTGAGCTGGATGGGGCTTGGGTGCCAGCCAGCTTGCGAACGATTGCTTCCGGCTTTCGTTTGCCGCATCAAGCAGTTTCGCTAGCGACGCGCCATGCGGCCACATGCTCCTATGATGCTACGTACGGTGAAGAAATGTGTTCCTTCCTCGTCATACTAGTGCCCCAACGTCTGAGACTCGGTCACTAACATTTCTCAGAAGCCAAAATCGCCTGAGATGAGCCGTAGTGCTTGGGTGAAGGAGCAGAACTTCCAAAGCACCTGCAGTTACAACGACCACCACTTACTTTCTGGGTCATCAGCATGGGCAATTTTTGGGCTTGTAGGCTTTTCAAGGGCACATCATGGCTAGCCAAGCTCGGAATGCCACAGGGGCTTTGGAGTGATTGGGGTGCTTTAGGGCTTAGAAGTTAAGGCAAGCTTGAAGGGGTTTAGGATGTTTGGAGCTTTGGTTTTAGGGGCTTAGCCGCTTAGACATAGAGATGCCTAGGTTTCAGAGGTTCAAGGCATTTCGGGTGTAAGGTTTCTAGAGGGTGGTAGTACTCCCTTTTCGCTGGGCACTCAATTTCGGCACGGCCTCTCCTCAGATGAGCAGTCTCTAGTGGCTCCAGGGACTTTGTAGAGCTCTCGTGCGGGGGGCAAACCGCCACATGACGTTCGAGCTGCAACGCCTGCGGCTCTTGCAGGAGCTGGACGGTGCTTGGGTGCCGGCCAGCTGGCCAATGATGCCTGTGCTGGTTGGCAGCTTTGGCAGCGAGACGGAATGTGTGATATGTTCTTATGATGCCCCTATACATGCCGAAAAGTGTGGTTCTGTCAACCATATACCGCACACCCCGCAGACACGGTCTCCAAAATCTTATTGATGAAAAAACCGATTATCCATGCTGCAAAGCAAGAATGCGATACCGGCGATGCTGGGTATTTGCCTGGTGGATGAGGATGCCTGGCAAATGTCCTGTATAACGGGCAGACTTCAACCTGATGAGACCCCCAAAGCACTGAGTAGTCATGCGAACTGCAGGCTTTAGGAATCTTATAGAGCATTGAGGTTTTGAGGCAGCATTCAAGGAGGAGTTGAGCATGATGTAGCGACGAAGGTGTTTAGGTTGTCAGCGGTTAGGTTTAGTGCTCAGAGGGGATGTGGCGTCCTTCCACCTAAGGATCAAGATTGCTTATGCCACCTTCCCTCTGATCTTCGTTTACCATAGATTCAACTGAATTAGGTTCAAAAACGGGGAATGCGTATTCTAGCGTGTACTGTTCGGAGGAAATCCCAAATCGTTTGCTGACACGCAATCTGTCCCTAACATCCGAATGCAGAAACCTAGGCCTGTATGCCGTAAAGCTCCCAAACCCTGAAGCTCGAAACCTTTACCCATATACCGTGAAAACAAACCCCCAGCAATGTACCTCGAGCCCTGGCACTCTCAAACCCTAATTATGCCGGACCCCATGTAATATACCCCAAATCTTAAATCTCGCAACAGCCTACGACCTAAACCTCGGGTTCTCATGGGGGGCTCCTCGGCCGAAGCTCTGATTCACAGTGCTCAGTTTCACCCGAAGACAAGCATGAACAGGCCCACAGCTCCCGCCCGCCTCCCCGCCCTCAAGGAGAGGTCAAAGCGCTGCATTTCTGTGATCTAAGGTTTGTAGAATTTCGTGTACATGTGTTTATTGCAGTGCAGAGAGATTCACGGTTGAGAGTTTAGGAGTTTCTTTTGCATTTACCTTTTACGGTGTTCTCCTAGAATCTAAGGCTAGTTGCATAAATTTGGACTTGCAGGGCTTTTGTCAGCAAGAAGGTTGCACGTTCTAGAGTAGAGTTCTTGCGGAAACCTAGCCGCTGTCGGGTTCTCCTACAGCTGAATTGAAGCCGTAGATGCGTGGGTGTGGCTTTGAAAGCTCAAGCCTTTCACATCCTCTTTTCTCAGGATGTGAGGGGAAAGGAACCTACCTATGTTCACCGGCAAGCCACATCAGCAAGAATGAAATTCAGTGTCAACGACTTCTGTGCAACTCTTTAGACACAAGGAAGTGCAGCAGTAGCGTCATGTGACCATTGCACTTTCTTTTGCCGTCTTGCTCACAGCAGGAGGCATGCAGCTTTCAGACAGAGCAGAATGGAAATCCCGAAGCCCTAAGCTGGGTCTGCAGGTTTTAGATTGCCATCTGCAAGTATCTTCTTCCATAATATACCATATATTACTATGCTAGAATCCCCAAAGCCCCTTTGTTGTTAAACTCGCTGCTACATGCAGCCCCAATGCACATCCAATGTTCATTTCTTCTTGTTATTTGGCTCTTCATAGTTCTACTTACAGCAGGTATAGTGCTTGTAGCATGGACCAAAATGAGGTTCAACGCGGATCGCTCTTGCGTGGGATTGGGCTGTACATAGCTCCTAAGTGCAAGGGTCTAGCGGAGCACAAACAGATGTATGGCTCTATGACAATTCACAAAACATGAGATACGTAGTATATCGGAGCAGACAACCAAGGGGAACGGAAGCATGGCTCACTGCCGAACTGGTCACCTGCAAAGGACCAGGCAACATGAAGGCAGCTGTTTCAGGATTTTTGGAATGTGTATGTGTGGGTGTTGGATTGTTCCGGAAGTAATGCTTGGTGGATTGTGCATGCTGGGTTCTTCTGACTGGCTTGTTACAAGCATTGCCCTCCCATTGAGAACCCCACTTGTAGCTACCCAACCTCCAAGTCAGACCTGAGATTCGGCTGATGGGTTGCCCGCCCCAGAACAACATAGACCACTATCCTTTGGCAAGGGCCTTACCCTGTTGGTATCGTACTTTGGTAGAGATCCATTCCTACACCCAAATCATATGCGTGAGCTGTTGTCCTTGAAGAGAGCTCCAGCATGATTTGCCTTGGCTTACATCATGGCTGTGGACAAGGAGCTTGCGATGGAGCTTGTGATGGGGTGTCACGAAACCTTACGCCTTCAACCTCAAACCGTGAAATTTGCATCTGTGGAAATGATCCCTAGACCCTGAAATCTAAACTCTAAACCCCCAGAGCTAAATCCCTGGACCCTAAACCATGTGTTTGACGCCTGGCAGGTCGAATGGCGTCTGGCATGGTGACCTTACGGCACTGGCGTCGGCCGGGAGCTTGGATGTTCACAGTTAGAGGGTTTCGTTCAATATCTGGCTTGTTGCTTTAGGTTTTAGGGCTTTAAAGTTAGTGGTTGATACGAGTGAAGATTATGAGGTCATTGGGTCTAAGGCTGGAAGTGTCGCATGGCAAGTAAGGACAGCTAGAGTCCTTGCGTGTCTGTCTTCATCGCACCACGCTGCCATTGTGTGCCTGCTGACGAGTTTTGCTGATGCCAAGGGAGAAGGGCTTAATGCCTTCATATGTCCATGGTCAGAAGGAGAATATTTGTCATACTAACCTTCTGCGTGAAAAGGAGCGACAACATACATTTACATGTCCTAAACTCAAAGCCTAAAACCTAAGCCCTAAGCCTTGCATCCAAAATCCTAAGCCCGTCGACCCAAAAAAACCTACACCCTAAACCCATTAAGAAAGCAACACCACCTTGAAGCCTAAACCTGGATTGCTGCGGCTGCTTCGGGTTGCATCCTAAAGCAGTGCTCTCGGACCCAAGACCGGAATGTTGCAGTTTAGGGATGGTTTTCGGGCTGTATCAACGGGTTATATATCACGATATATATACATATATATATATATGGTTAGATAGGGCCATAAGGGCTATACAGTGTACAGCGCAGAATTCGAAATGACACTGAAACTTGGACTGTATAGGGCTAGGTTTGCAAACGCCCAAGGCTTTCATAATTGCCATCACAGAGAACGCTCGTGTTGGTCAATATACCTTTTGGCAGGTGAAAGTTTCTCGAGAAGAATCCCTAAGTTTGGGGCTTCAAAGGAGGCAGGTTTCCGAGTTTAGCGTTTAGAGTTTAGGGTAGGGGTTGAGGGCGGGTCCTTAGGATCTACCCTGTTGAGCAGGATCTTTTTGCTGGTCTTGTGTGGCGTTGCGTGCTTAGAGGCTACTGGGCTGTGAAAAGTAAGGTCATAAGTGCCTTTGGGGAGGTGCACCTACAGCTTCCCTATTTGTGACCGTGCTTACGGTTACCAGGAACCTTTAAGCGGTGCTAGTGGTGTGGCCTTGCATAAGGCTAGGGCCCAATGTACTTCCCTCTCCCCAATATGAGCACTTTCCACCATAACACGGTACCAGTATACAATGTTGTACATCTTGGGGAAGTGATTTGCTGTCGGGGTGGTGGGTGGTTTTATGATTGGGGGGAGGGGATTCATCGTCGTGACCAATTGGCTGATGGCACTTTTCGGCTCTGAAATATGTGATAATTCCCTCAGAGCACGCAGCTCTGAGGTTTGATCTTTCATCATGGGCAGGAGCATATTATAGTTGGCTCCATAATCTCCGTAGACAAATCCTCATCTTTCCTCAGCTATCCTGGGGTAGCTTTATCTAGATGGACCCCTATACAAAGCCTGTATCTCCCTACATCTCCCGGTATATACCCCTGGGGGAGTAGTGTAGGAGCCTCCGTCTGCTTGCAGCCATGGATGGAGTTTTTAATCTCCTGCTGACACAGGTGCGGCGGCTTTCTGAAAATCCGAAACCCAAAGCCTTCAGCAAGATACCCCTAACGCCTAGAACACCTTAGGCTGCAACCTTAAACCTTCAACCCTACTTCGTGTAGGTATGAGTTAAGCCCGCAAATTTAGGACCTGAACTCTACTGAAAGCCCTGAACCCTTAACTCGAACCTCTAAACCGTTTGGGTGGCTGCTGAACAGCATTTTGCTCCGTTTGACACTATATGGATGCAATGTCGTTTTATTTGTAGTACCTCAACAGTTCTCAAGATAGCTCAACGGGAATGGGGAGGGGGTTGGATTTCTTGCAATACTTCCTACATAGTCCCTATGAGCGCTGTTAGACATGTAAGAAGACCTACATGTAGTGCCGGATTCCGCAAGCCTCAAATGCTCAACCCTAAAGCCTCAAACCCACACGCGAAATCCCAGATCCAAAAAAAGAAGCCCGAAGGCCTAAATCCGAAACTTTCAAACCCTGAACGAAACTCCAAGCCTTGAACTCTAAGTCCTTAATCCTAAGCCCTATACCTGACATTCGAAACCCTAGATCCTATGTCCTACATCCCTAGATTCCCTCAAGCACCCGCAACCATACCCCAGGTTGAGCTACTGGCTGCAGGTGGAGGAGTTACCACCCCGAAGCTTGGCGCACCACAGTTCAAGGTTTCAGGCTTCAGGGGGCTTAGGACTTACGCAGTAGGTTTTTGGCTTTAGGGTTTAGGGCTTAGGATGTGAGGTTTCGGGGTTAGTTAGGGTTTAGGGTTCATGGCTAGGGCTTAGGGTTACAGTACGGCATTGTTGAGGTTTTCGAAGGGTGTCATTTGGCTATCTATAGGATGTATCGGGACTGGTAGGGGTACATGAGGTTAAGGCTTGGTTGTCCTTTTTCACGTGGATGAACGGCATCCTTTTCGGGTTTGCGAAGAAAGGCAGCTAGCTGCAGTATTCCGAACGGCAATTATTCGGTGTACCCTTAGCCCTTGCAGGGCCTGAGGTCTGGTGCTCAGGGTTCAGGTTTTATTGCTTAGGGTTTAGAATCTTCTGTCTGTAGGAGTTCGAAGGGTACAGTGAGGAGCTCGACGTGAACTTCTGCTGGCTGTAAAAATTTGGCATAACGTAAATAAAGCCTTCTGGGGGTTATAAGTAGGGCTAAGAGCGCCGAACCTTCAAGTACCTTACAGGTTGCCAGTAGGGAATGAAAACATGGAATCAGATAGTAGCCGCCATATTCCCAATCATATAGTGGCGTCCGCTTCTTCCAGTCCCTAGACCCTAGATGGTGCACAGTGTGCTTAGAACCCCGGTTATACATAATCTCGCCAGGGGATGCCCCTGAATTAGTATAGTATGGATCCCTACATCTAGGCCTAGGTTCCACCATGTGGGCCCTTTACCGAACCCTGAACCCCAACCCTTTGAACCTCATACCCCATTCCGTCAGGGTCCAAGCAGATATCCCAACAGTTTACGATCCAGATCTCAAGAATCTATGTGAACTATAGTCTAAACTCCTTATTATTAAAGGGGGTTATATAGGGGATTATATAGGGGACCAGTATAGGGGTCATTAAGGGGGATACTAGGAGTTTAGACTATAGCTCATGTAAGGTCTTCTCTGGGCCTAACCTACATCCTATCTGCATAGGTATGCGGACACTCAGCTTGAAATTTGAACCCTGAACCCTAGGCCCTCAATCCTAAGTCCTATGTACCAAAAACCCTGAACTCCAATCTTCATAAGATCCTAAACCCTATGTACCCTAAACCCTAAACTCTAAGCCTCAGAAGCCTATGAACCGCAAAACCATGCTTTAAAAGTATTATCCCAATATTTCCCCAATATACTACAGTAGCAAAACTGCTAACCCTAAACCCTAAACCCAAGAGCATCTGAGGATGCTTTGTCTCCTTTTCTTTCTGGGCCTGCGCCTTGGCCGCAGAAATGCGCCCAGGGTTTGGGGCTTAGGGTTTAGGCCCAGGGTTTAGGGTTTAGGGCTTAGGGTTTAGGGTAGGAAGTCAATGGTTCAGGGCTATAACAAGGGTTTAAGTTTTAAGGTTTAGGGCGTAAAGGCTCCATGGTTCAGGGTTTCGGGGTTGCTGCTTGGTTTGCATCGCTTCAATTTGAGTTTCGGGCCGGCATGGATAATTCTGGTCAGGTACTTGCTTGTGTTTTTTCAACTTTGGGACCCTTTCAGGGTTTAGGGTTTAGGGTTTAGGCTAGTTCAGGCAAGAACGTACAAGTTTCCATTTTCTTTTCCATTATCCCAATATTACCCCAATCAATTTTCAGGTAGTTCAGGCAAGAACCAGAAACTCTACAAGTATGTGTTTTCTTGGGTTGGCTTTGGGTTGGCTTAACCGGAATTCGGGACCCACCATAAATCTTCGACGCTAAACCTTGATGTCTAAACCTTGAAGCTCTGAACCTTGAATCCCAAACCTTAAGTCCCAAGCTTTTAGCCCAACATCCCAAACTGGAACCCTACTGGACCTCGCAGGCACTGGCTGCTCACCCTGCATATGCCCTTGACCTCAAGAAGCCAGCAGGGCCCCGGCAAAGATGCACCCAAGCGAGACGAGGATTTTGAGAAGCACCTCATGGAGGCCAGGGTGTCGGGTTTAGGGATTTGGAGGTTTCAGTTTTGGGGTTTAGGGTTGCTACCAGAATTTTGGGAATTTGGTAGTGGAGTAGGTTGTTGGTCAAGTAGGATTTTGTCCATCAGCAATACCATGACGAGGAGCAGGGGCGAGTCTTGGCCCAATCTTGGAAGACCGCCTGCTACTACGTGGTGCACTTGCACGTGACGCTCATTCTAGTACTCATCTACGAGTTTCTGGGGTGCAAGACATCCACATTCAGGTACGATACTATGGAGTTAATGTACAGTAAAGGATATGGATTGTCCCTGTATAATTCTCATAGAACCCCAGTTTCCATATCAGTTTAAAGCTTGATTTGTCCGTTTGATTCTCCGTCATGGTACCCTAAGCCCTACGCTTAAGTCAAGTTTCTCAGCTTTCAATGGCAACCCAGGTTTTTCCGGGCGCCTGACGTCTCCTCCTTCGTTTGGCTGGCATCTTGTATGCTCGCCTATGTGGGCTTGATGGAGCCCAACCGTCGAGGTGCTCCTGAGATACTTGACAGGGAAGTGAAAGGGATGGGAACGAGCATGTTGGGTTTCTATTGGGATAATGGAAAAAATGGAAACTACAGGGATTATAGGGATTATATAGGGATTAGATAGGGTTATAGGTCATGAAGGAATTGAAAAGATTTGTTTTTTTTTCATATTTTGGGGGTTCTACATAGGGAATGCAGTCGGGATGAATTCCCCATTCCCTATTCGCATTCAACAAGGATAACGGCACGGCGGGCTAGCTCCCAATTTGCTTGCTGCCTGTTCGGATGGATGGGCTGCCTTGTTGGATGTTCCTTGGGGAACCTCGGCTTCTGTTTGGATCCCTTCAATTTGCCTTAGTTGATCTCCGAGCTGGGAAAAAGCTGGGAAAAAGCGACCCAGGCACCGGGAGGATTTCATTGTGCGGCGGGATCTGCTGATGATGGCACAGACCATTATGGTGATTATCTATCCCAACACGACAGTGGCTAGCTGCTTTGCTGTCTGTGGATGCGCTGGCTACGTATGGACTACATGGCAGGTTGGGGGTCGCAAACTGAGTTGAGAACGACCTCTTCAATTTCAGGGGACTTTTTCCTCAGCTTTGGGGAGTATTTCTCGACAGTGTCAGGAATCAATTCTCCCATGAACATCCCGAACTCATACCTGCCAAATTGTAGACCCTGACCTCTGCAACACTAGAATCCAATCCCCCCGCACTCTCGCCTCCCCCAAACGGCGTAAACCTTAAACCCTACAGCCCAAATCTGAAGCCGTGAGCCCTTAACCCTCATTTCCCTAAACATAACCGCCTCTTTTTGGCTTGCTTTTATGAATGTTGGACCAGTACTTAGCCTACTTCGAGGTCTAGGTAAACCCGAAATGGCAGGTCTTCGGGGCCGAAGCTTTGACTTTGTGGTTTTGCATCAACCAGATCTATCAGGCTCTTGGGTGGCAACTTGGGTTTAGGTTAGGTGGACCCCCCACCCAGTAATAGTGACTATAAGGGATAATAGGGATTTTAATAGGGTCCTCTTATATTCTTATTTTCTTATTATACCACTATTACAGGGCGGGGGGTACTCCTAAGGTTTAGGGTTTAACTGTAAAACGCTTCCCCACCCCTGCCATGAAAGATTCCTTTATCTCTCCGTTATCTCCTTATTTGTACGCTGTAGATGCATTGTTTGATGTTAGGGGTGGGGTGTTTGACATCAGGGGGAAGAGATTGTTTCTTCTTGTCGTACAATTCCTCCTTACCCTGAAAGCAGTTAAGGTTCTGCCATATCTAGTATCTCATTTGGTAACTGCTGGAGTAAAGGGGAATGCCCCAATTCCTTAAGGGGAAGTACTCGTACCGCAGGTTGTGATCGTTGTCCTCTTCCCTGCCTTCACCCAGATGAAGCTGCACTGGTTTAGGGTTCAGGGTAAAGGGCTCAGGATCCAACGCTTGGTGTTTGGGGTATGGGGGCTTGCGTTTTTGGATCCAGCGTTTCGGGTTCGGGCTTTACTTTAGGCTCGAGGGAGGATGACTGTTGTTACAACGTAAGCCCACCCCAAACTCTACGGAGCTTACAGAATCCTCACATGGAAAACCTAAATCCTAGATGCTTTTAGCCTATAGGAATCACAACGCTCCCTCCTGGAGCCCTAAACCTAAATCCCAAACCATAAGCCCCAAATCCAAAAAATGCTGGACCCAGAAGCCGCGGAATCGTATTTGGCCTGAAAACCAGGCAGGGGAAAATCCCATAGTCTCTTAAAAGTATCATTTTAGATACTAGCATTTCAGAACATCTCTTGGATAATTCGCCCACCTAGCAACAAGCGGATAACACATATGGTGTGAATGAAGCCAAACCCTAAACTCTAAGCCCAAAACCTTGCATCCTAGCCGTAGACCCCAACCCCTCAACTCTACCCCTGTGCCATACCCTGAGGGTCCAGTTACCCCAATATTGGCGTTTTAGGTACCGAAAACCGTGCAAATTATAGTATCTGAGACCTGAAGCCCTGTTCCTTGGGTACTTGGACCCTGTAGGAGTAACAGCTGGATAATAAGTACAGAGCAGATACATCAAAACTTTAATCTTAATCCAAATATGGACTGTGACTGGCTGGGGGCAGTGCCCAACATAAGCCAAACCTATCCCTAAAGCCTAGACCCCCTGAGCACTAAACCCCAAACCCGGAACCCAAAAGCTTTATAAATGCCCTAGGAATCACAACAAGTGCATCCTCATGGGTTTCAACTCACAGGATGCAGACTCGCTGGTGTCACTAGCTTGCATGGTGTTAGGGCTTCTCTGAAGTTTTAGCCTCTGGGGGTTGAGGTTTCTGTAGGTTGAGGGTTAAGGTTAGGCTGTATAAAGTTTGAAAATTCTGGAGGCTGGAGGGCCTTGTTGAAGATGGAGGAATTCCTGATTTATCCGGGACATTTTGGCTATCCGAGGGCTGAGCAAGCTTAGGGTGGTTCAGTAAGGCGCCTTACCCTCCCCCAAGCCCCAAAAAGAGAACGCAGACATGGTAAACGGGGCTGTTGGCGTTGCATGTTATTCTTGCAGGGGGGCAAAGCCGAAACCTTGAATCCGAAGCCCTATACCCTAAAACCTCTAAACCCTAAATCGCTGAACCCTATACCCTCTCCCTTAAGTGGGGGTACCCTAGATCCCATAAACCTTGCCTACTTCCTTGGCCCTAAGCTCTGAACCCTGTGGAGGTCGGCTTTCCGCCAGGTGCTCAAAGCAGTTTGCGACGGGGACTTGCCGCCTGCTTTTAGTGGAGCATCAAAACGAAAAGGGTTTAGGGTTTATAGGGTTGAAAGAAACCATCAAGTGAAGCTAAGGTTCTATAGTGGCTTGTTGGCGGTTTTAGGCTTGAGGTTTAGGGCTTCGGGGTTTGGGATATGCGGGTTCAGTATTTAGGGTGTAAGGTATGCTAAGTCTTCAACCCTCAAGTTTCAAAAGGTGTGGGCTGTAGACGGGGATTCGCACAGGATTCTGGGGCCGGTCTCAAGGCGAATGCAGGTTCCATGTCCCCTTAGTGCTCCTATAGGGTCCTCAACCCTGCTCTACACTCAAAGTCAAAACCGAAAGCTTTTGAAACGAGGTTACTCGACGAGGAGTTGAAGATCTGCGCGGGCTCCAGTTGTTTGAAGCGCATCCTGGAGACACCGGAAGCTTAGGCGGTAATTCTGCTGGAAGTGTTGGGTATGAGAATGATCCAGCAAGCTCACTGGGTCATCAGTTGGGGACGTACATTATGCGAGATTTCAGCTTTCAGAACCACGTGACTGTCATTTGCTTAGCAGTTCCCTCAACGTGAAGGATTCCAGGGTAGAAGTGCGAGTATTTTCCAACTCAACGCATATATGCAACTGGGGGAGATTTTTTGGAGTCCAAATCCTCTCCATAGGTTCGGATGGATTGGGGGCCTGTCGAGGCCTTGGGAGGCTCTTGGTCGTTGGAAGAGCCATGTCTGGGAGGCATAGCTAAGACTGTACTAGGTTTCCTCATCATGCCTTGTGGCGGACTTGGTGGGGCCTGGCAGGGTCTGAGACGTGATTGAAAGTGTCGCTCAAAGGGTCGGTGTCCAATGATAACACCCTCAACAAAGCCAAAACCTCGTGGCAATTCGGAGGGCATTCATTTTGGTAGCGAGACGGGGCACTGGAAAGCTATGCTGGTATTTTTTAGGATATCCGAGCCAGTCATGTTCTTACATCGTGAACTCATTTTTCGATGCTATATTACCTATAGTATGGAGGCAAAGACGGGGATTGTAAAGGTACGCTGGTAGACGCCCTCTCCAAGTCCCGCTAAAGCACCAGTAAGGAAGATGCAACAGGCCGCGCTTTCGGCGACCTCATTGCCGAGGACGGGAAGGCCGTGAAAACCTTCGACGAGTTTGTGCGAGACTCTTCAAAAGCTGCTCAACATGAAGGTAGTGCGCCTCAATGCTTGCGAGTAGCCCTCAGGGGATCGAGACGCCTGGTGAGTGCTGACGTGTTTCACGTCGCGCTTCCCAAGACGCTGGGCGTATCGTCTGGGCGGCATTTGCTGGCAATCGCGGAAGATGCAGACTCTCGAAG